TTTGAAGAGGTTTCCCTTCTCATCCAAGAAGCTTCTTCAGCTTCTACAACTATGACCTGGATGACTGAGAATCTCCATAGACAAATACAAGATGCCTTTTTTAGGTATGAATGAAATGATTGGAAGAACTATGTTTCTGTTACTGAGGACAGTGTGTTGAATCAGAGAGCTCCAGGCATCAGAGGGATTTTTATAATGTGTGTGCTAATCTCATTACATGGGTGACAGAAGTGCAAATTTGGTCTATGCCAGTGAAATATATTGCATCACGGTCCAATATTGTACCTAAACTGATGCACAGCTGTACTACTTCAACATTATCTGGCGCAACTTTTATTCCCCGTGATTTTGAATCATAACCACTAAATTACTTTTAAAGTCTTTTTCTTGTAATGAATATTTTTCCCAAGCTCTATTTTTAAAGCTGCTACTAATGCCACTAGAGATTGAGAACATAAGTCTTTCTTAGCTTCTTTTCATGTGCTTCTAAGTTATTGCTTCTCCAGGATTTGTATGTGGGCGTCGTTAATGTATGATAGGAAAGACTGAAAGTTTCAATCACATAAGCACTGAACAAGAAAAAAGGGAGGGCAAATAGGATTTGGCAGAGAAGGGGAGAAGGGAGGGATGGGGGAGGAGGAGAGAGAAGGAGAGAGGGGGGGGAGAGAGAATTCTTTTGCTTGTAATTGATCTGAGGAATATGAAGGCATAAGTATTGCTCGCCCAGGAATGCACCATTTTCTTTTTAATTTCAAAGCCAAGAATCATATACCTGTTGCAAGTATATTGATTGTTTTTCTGGAAAGACAAACTGTCCATTCCTAGCTTATCAGAGAAGCTGATAAAATAACTACCGGTAGTAGCATGGGAATGTTTCAGTGGTGGGTTCCTACCAGTTCAGCTGAACCAGTAGTGGTTTGGCGGCCTGGGTAGCTGGAACCAGCAGCGACCCAGGCTTGTCACGCCCCCAAACTGGTTCTCTGGCCATAGGCGCTGCCATCTTCTTTTTTGCTTCTGCTCATGGGCAATTTTTATTGCATTGCGCATGCACACGCAATTTGTATCAAGCTCACACACGCAGCACGGCCATGAGTGAACTGGCAGTAGTGACTGCTAGAACCCACCCCTGGAATGTTTCCAACCAAACAGAAACTTGATTTAGGAGAGGTAGTCCTCAATTTACAACCACAATTGAGCCCAAAATTTCTGTTGGTAAGTGAGACATTTGTTAAGTGAATTTTNACCCCGCCCGAATGTTGAGTGAATGTTGTGTTTTTATGACCAATTTCCTTTTAATCACGATTCTTTTCTTTTTAAGTCTTGTCTTGCACTCCCTTCCCTTTACTGTTGTAAGCCGCCCCGAGTCCCCTCAGGGAAAAGGGCGGCATATAAATTTGCAATAAAACATTAAAAAAAAAAAAACATAAAACATAAGCCACTCTATTACTGAGATGGTATACAAGTTGACAAATAAATTAAAAATATACTGCATGTATATATAAACACACACACACACACTTAATTCATCTTTGAATTAAGGATTATCCCATCACAAAATTGTTTTTCCCTGGGCTTAAATGAGCAGCTCACTCAAAAAAAAAAAAAAACCCAACCCCAACCCTCTGGCTTCAAGACGGGTCGAAGGATTCTAAGAAAAGTTTTAGCTGAGAGAATCACTGCAGGTACTGTTTAGGGTACATAAACTACCCATTCAAGCTCATCCAGACATGTCCTCATTCATCCTGCCTTTGAAGACAAGAATTATTCAAATAATTCTAACTATGAAACATAGTACTGTAGAGCAGACTCTTAAAACAACTTGAATATATTAGGGAAAACAATGCACATAAAAATATTATTTTCCAATGCAAATTTTAAATGGGAAGAAGAACTTTGCTGTTCTGAAAAAACACATCTGCAAAGGAAAAGCACAGAAACTTGCCGTTTAGAAACAAGCAAAAATTAGTTCTCATAAATTCATTTCCTGTCTAAAACTGAGCACATAGATCTTTTTTTTCTTTCTTGACTTTTTCATCCTCAAATTTTAATAAGGTTATAGCACAGCATTCTTCCACCACTACTCAGCATGGAGTTCGTTAGAAGTGAACTCTGAAGGAAGATGTGGGCGACCCTGCCAACTTATTCCCACTGTTGAACAACTTGAAGATAATTACTATTTTCCAAAAATGGTGGGGTGGGATGGGATGCCCAAGGCGAGTAGTACATCTCAGCTATTCAAAGGACCCAAGATTAATAGATAGAAAGGAGGTAGAGAAGCCTAAAGTCTGAGTTTTGAGAAGAAATGAGTCTATTTTCAGTCCTGCAATTCGAAGAAAGAAGAGGGATTCAAAGATCTTTTAGTTTGAAAACCTCATACGGACGTTAGCATTTTTCTACAGTTACTTTAGGCCAGATGTATCAAATAGGAGGTGACCCACAAGCACTTTCAACAAGTCACAGAGATAGAACTTATAGATGAAAGCTAAGAAACAGCTATGTAATTATTTATTAAATATGTATACTGCCTACTTCTCTACCAAGTGACTATGCTAGGAGATAGGGCAATAGACTGACTACTATATGTCTGGAAACCTTGCCTTCTTCAAAATTTATGGGCTTTTATAGAGAAAGATGCTGAATCTCCCTTCAGATCTATCTGACCTGTTCCAGGAAAACTGGTATTACGTAAGCATTCCATAATTGCCATAAACTAGGGCACATTCCTTACCAAGTTATACAATATGCCAAAACATAGAATAAGGAGAAAGATGCTTGATTAGAGAATCTTGCCTCACTCTTATTTATCATATTTGCCTCTACTGAGACCAGCATGCCTAACCTTAACTTATTTTGGGGCCATAACCACAGAACAGTGTGATTAAACAGGAATCTGAGCATCAGCCTTTGTTTCTCAACCTTGGCAACTTTAAGATGGGGGGGGGGACTTCAACTCCTATTGATGGCTGGGGAATTCTGGGAGTTGAAGTCCACCCATCTTAAAGTAGCCAAGGTTGAGAAACACAATATGCAATAGCACACTGGGTGAAATCAGGGTTGTAATATAATTTGACATTCTGTGTGGACCAGTAAAAACTTTGTAGATAGAAGCCATTTTGTTTTTCTCCATGCTTCCTTTGAAAACAAATCCTCTGAACCATAACTACTACAGTCAGTTTTGTATGAGTGAAGTTATTTACTTCGCCATTTCTTTTAAAAGATTCCAGATGAAACTGAGGAACTCCATAGATTCTCTCTTTTACACTGATATGAAAGTAATGTCCTTATTAAAACAGATAAAAATATACATAGGCCTTGCTTAATTAAGACAATCAGTAGGAACTAGCATATACTGTTGATTTAAAAATCAACCTAATAGCACTGGCTTCAAATCAACAAACTAAAACAATTACTTTCATTTAAAAATAATTGCACAACTGCTTTCATTGTAATTATAGCAACATTTTATTTGTTACTTGCAACCCTCCCACATGTTGTCCACAAGGTATTTTTAAAATGGTATATTATTCAGATGGACTTACTATATTTAGATTGCTGTCATATACTGTCAATCAGAATACAGCTTAAAAACCATTCATTCAGTGACTATTTGAAGTTACAAAGGTGCTAAACAAATTATACTTATGCCCAGACCTCAAAGTTATGGCCGTAGTAGCACCCCTGAAGTCAGGTGATTAAAATTCACTCTGTATTTACAACTGCAAGGTACATTTCAACCATCTGCCTATCTCCCCCATCTCTGCCCTTTTAGTCACCCTGTATTTCTCCACTCGGTTACCCCACCATTCCTGCCACTCTGCACGCACCCCTGCCACCTGCCCTGTGTTTTGCAAAACCCACGCCTTCTTCTTCCCACTACTGATGAGGTGTGCCTGGCTTCATAAAGGCAGGAGCAGCAGAGGCCAAGGTAGAGCATCGGAAAGGCGGAGGGGCGGAAATGACACCAAGGGGCAGAGTACAAAGTATCAGGGGCAGCTGAGCACAGGGCAGTGGAGGTGTGGGGCAGAGTGCAGAGTGGAGCACAAAGATGGCAGGATAGCAAAACACCAGATGATGGAGGCAGTATGGTGCAGGACTGCAGAGACGGGGGGGGGGGTGCAAGGAGGCAGGACAGCAGGGGCAATGGAGGGCAGGGTGACAGGAGTGCAGGGCAGACTGCAGAGTGGCAAAGGCAGCAAAGTGAAGGGTAATAAGAGCAGAAGGGGAAAGAGAATGTTTTGTTCCTCATCCTAAAAAAAAAGTCAGTTCCTATTCTTACCAAGACATCATGCAACTAAAATACAACATTTCTTCTAAGGAACACTGTAATATCACAACTGCTACCTAAGGGGAACTCAGTGCAGTGATGTTCCATATATCACATTTATTTCTTCTGATAGCCAAATAAATAAAACAAATAAAACAGTAATAGGGGAGACAGAAGAAATGAGGGATATCAGTCAAACATTCCTCATATTGTCTTTCTTTTAAAATCTAGCCCTCTCCACATGTTTTTATGGGAAAGACTCCAACATGATTCAAGGGCAACAAAGTTGGACTCTTGGGTTCTATGTGTGGAAGGAAAGATTGAAGCAACTCAAATTTGCACTCCTGGATGCTTCTTTATATGATCAGGAGCCTCAACTGTTGGGGCCCCTGTTGCAGTGGAGAATCCAGAAGCATTGCTGATTCCCCCTCAATTGTTGATGAACACAAAGATTGTGTTCATTGGGGGGGGGGGAACCAATACTGTATTCTCAAGAAAGCCTTTCACATGAGTAACATATAAATGAGAAGAAACACCTGATTCAGTTGTATCCCACCATCCAACATAGTCACCAGTCTGAAGCATCACTGAAGAAGGGAAGATGCAAATAAAACCGCAATAACATACTTAAGCATTTATACACTAAATACAGATTATTGTAGTTTTAATGACAGAGTATTACAATTTTAGTAGAAAGCAGTTGAGAAAATGTTTACTAGAAAATAAAATAACGTACCTTTTCCATGTAAATGCTGGATACTAGTGATACCACCAAGTGGCCAAAAAGAAGCCACAGTATATATCCTTTGCCCCATTCCATCCAGAAGCTCCATTCAAAATCAACTGGATCCTAGACATCAAGGGAACCAAACTGCCATTAAACTCTTTTGAAATGTACTTACTTACAAAGAAATTGAACATGTAAGATGTTCGGTACTGAAATTCCTATCATCTCCAAAACGTTGCCATATTAGCTGAAGATGAAGAATATACGTTATAGAGACCCAAGCTCACATCATATCTCTATAATATTTCATGCTAGGAACCAGACAAATACAGGACTCTTACACAAATGGGTTTATTGCATAGAACACAACAGTAAGACTTAGCAAGGCTGTCGATGAAGACTCTAGGAGCTCTTCAGTGGAGTTTAGGGGATGTCAGTCTTCTTCTGTTTATAAGTGTTTGACACACACACACACCTGAAGCCCTTACAAATAGAAGAATACTAACACTGACATCTCCTAAACTCCCCTGAAAATGTTACTTAGCCTGGTAAGAAAACATTCAGAAATCAGCCCACAAGCTCTGAGGATGAGAACCTTCATCCGATACTCATTAGAGCAGTGTATTTCAATCTTCACAACTTTATGTTCTGTGGATTTCAATTCCCAGAATTCCCCAGTCAGCCATTTGGGACAACACTGTCTGGGAAATGTTGTGAGTTGAAGCCCACAGATCTTAAAATTGCTAAGGTTGAGAAAGACTGGATTAGAAACTTCTAAATGCAATGTCCTAGCTGCAGCAGAAGCTTTTTCAAAGAGACCCCACATCCTTTTGCAATCAGTTGTATGCCCTAGTCAATTGTGCTGCACCCATAGACCGCTAGCTGTTGTGTGTTGTCATGTAAAGCTTAACAAGGGAAAAACCTACCCGCTGCCTTTGTGCTCAGATGTTGACACCTGAACAGATGTTGTGAAAATGCCCCTTTCCAAAAGGCGTCATTCAGCTCTGAACAGAAACTGCTGCTGAAACCAGCTGTTATACTTATTCTGACTTTCCCAGAAAATCTCCCTTGTCAAACCATTGTGGCTTGTACTTAGAAAGAGATGTTAAGCATGTTTATATATTTAATGTGTAACAACATAATTTATCCATTTAATGGAAAAGGAGAAACAGGGAATTCTCCCACCAAAAAAAGTAAATGGACCCCTATCAAAATGATGACCGCAACTGAAGTCATTTGGCCAGTGAAACTCTCTCCATGAGTAGCCTTTCCCAAATACTGCATCAGAGAGGGAAGCAAAATTATTTTATTGGTCTATGACAAACTACCATTTGATAGCTGCATTTAGTTACCTATTTTCTTCTTTATGCCTACATTTTATTGTAAGTCACTATTTCAAATTGCAGAAAATTAGGAGATAACATGCAACAGCTAAACAAAACTATTGCCTTTTGTCTCCGAATGCTTCCCTTTACAATTGCAAGGTAATATTCACTTTTGGAATCTATTCCTTGGAAACCTGCCAAGAACACCACATCCTTTGCACGATGCTGATCAAAAGGAATTTCAAAATTAGAACAGAAAGCAGACAATCATCATTGTCTGTGTTTATGCTTCCATTATTCCTTGAGGAGTGTGGCACAGATTTCAAATATGTCCCAAGAACTGCTTTCTTGCTTTAGACTCAAAATATGTTGCCATAAATGTTTATACTGTAATGAACAGCTTTATACTTCTCAACATCTGTAGTCCTGTAATATAAGAAAAGAAACTATTGTGCAACAGCTAATGGCCCTTTCATATTAAATACAAAAATGTGTGTTTGGTATAGGATTTTCATATAAGTAGCTGGCTCCCTCTATTTATCAGAGAGAAGCTAAGCTATTATTAAGACCATTAGTTACCATTGGCTGAGCTATCCTAACCCTATCAACTTCCCTCCTCATTATAGTCCTTGTTTAGAGACAGTTTTGTACAGTGACTGTTCACAGTTACAATGGTCACTTTTTAAAATTTATTTATTTATTTTTAATTATTTTTTTATTTACAAACATGCAAAATACATACAGACATAACTTAGATGTACACTACATTTAAACTTCCTGTTCCTTCTGATAGTTTCAAATCGGTATAATTCTCCTTATGTTATTTTCCCTTCTAATATATTTCATTTGACTTTCACCATTTTTAACCCTCTTATTTTACTCATCTATTTGATAAATTGGGTGATTATCTCTAATAGGTTTAAGCTCTCTTGAGTGCATATATATATGTTAATTCTCCTTAACTTCTATTTTTGAGCTTTATTTGCTTCTTTCATTGATCCTTGTTTCTTTCCTCCACCCACCTATACCATTTTTCCCATATCTGATAATATTCTGTTTCTTCCTTTTTCCTGGATTTCTTTTGTTAATTTGTCCATTTCAGCACACTCCATAACAATAACTTTAAACCAATCCTCACATTTACAACACAGGACACAGGTCTATAAAAGAAAGGAGGGAACACAAAAACACACAAATGTCAATAACAAGAGCATGCTGAGTCTTGGAAATGCACAGGCATTTGAGAAATCAACAGTCCATGGGAAACACAGGAGCCTAAGGAAAGGAAACAGCAAGGGAGTGGTTCCAAAAACTCAACTGGAACAGAGAAGAAAGCCTGAAAAATAGACTCAGAGGAAAAGTATACATAGATGTGAGCTGCAGAAATATAGAATCACGTTTCTACGTGGGTTTGAAAAAACTAGACTTGGGGCCCATTTGAAGCCACACCATTTTGACATTATCCAACAACTGAACATGTTTCATAACAAGCAAGATAGAAATAAGTAGATTGAAATGGATGATGGACAAATACCTTAAATGACTTTACAGTCTGTTTAATGGGTTTATGGTGATTGTAGCCATTTAGGGATTGCTTTGCCGCTCAGAAGGCGCTAGATGAAGTGGACACACTTTCCATTGGGTTTCATTCTGGAATATGGAACTGAAAAATGCACTTGTGGACAATTTCTGAAGGGAGCTGGACAGGGATAGTACATACATCCATGCTCTCTTTGGTTTCTCAGCAGCCTTCAATGCCATTGACTGTTAGGTTGCGCTGATGCCTCCAAGAATTAAGAGCTGGAGACACAATGTTATACTAGCTATTTTCCTTTGTCCTGGGTGGACTCCAAGCTGTAATGAGGAAGGAGGAAAGTTTTGCCAGGTTCCCTCCAGGTTTGACTCTTTCCCCATTCCTATTCAACATCTATATGAAGCTGCTAAGCCAGGTCATTTCAATGGCATTGGGTGAATGCCATTAAAATACAGTATTATTATGCTGATGATATTCAGTTGTATCTCTGCCTCTGGCTGGCCAAGCGATGCTGTAGAGGTTGTCTCTCAGTACCTGAAAGCTGGAGATATCTCAATGGAAAACAGGCTTCAGCTCAACCCTAGCAAGAGAGAGTGGCTTTGGATATTATGGCCACCTGGATCTGGTAAGTTTCAGTCATTTGTTCTTCTTTTCTACTCCAGACAAAATTAGTATGTAACTTGGGGGTTCTTCTTGATTCCTATTCAAAGAGCAAGTCCCAGCCATTCTAGGAGAGCCTTTGAAGAGCTTCATGTGCTGATAAATAAATAAATGTAACAAAAAGGCAACAGTAAAAATATTGGATTTCTGCCTGGATGGTCTCTTGTGACGAGCCGAAGGACAGAGAATGGAAGTAGTGATCTTCCTCCCATATTTGGGCATACCGGGGGTTGTAAATCTATATAGTTTAGTTTAGTTTAGTTTA